TTTTTTTTTAAATTATTGTTTTTACTTTCAACAAAGAAACACGTGTTAACGTAGCATTTGTCTGCAATTAACGCTTCCCATTTATCAGTTAAATGTGGACTTTTGTGATGGCGATTCTTCTTACAAACACATTTCACTTTGCGTTTTGCGAAATAGTTCTGGGTTTTCATTGTATTTAATCGCTCAACTGCCAGTTCTCAGACAAATAGATAATGATTTTGATGTGTCCCTGGAGGTCTCGTATGGTTCCCCCCCCCCTCCCTCCCTCCTTGTGTAGGGTTACGATCTTCGTGTGCTTTCTAATACTACCTTAATCTATGCGGCCATCAGAACCCACTGGAACACTTTCAGTTTGAAATGCAATGCCGAAGACTCAGTCAGCCTTCTCAGGCAAAGTACCATATCATTGTGTTCAGATTACTAATTTGTAAAACGACTCCGCTCAATCATACGTACAAGAAATTGAAGAGCTTCGCCTTTGAAGGCAGCATCACAGAATACTGAAAATGTGCTACAGACGTGCTCTCTACATGTAGTAGAAAGATTCCAAGTCTGGTAATTAGGCATTCCGGCGCAAACCAAATTGTGTGGATTAGCGGAGAACCCGTGTCCCACCACTGCTTTTACAGAATCATGTTGACTTTTCATCTCAAAACCATTAGCAGGGAGAACTAAAAGAAAAAGAATAAGTGTACTTTTGCATCAGCTATTGGTGGCGCCAAATCCTGGCACTGTCTTGTTAGGCTGATAACCACCACGAAGTACAGCTTGTATTCATTTGATATGAGAATCCATTTCTCTCCATGATTTATGTCTTGAAGGAAAATCACTGGTTGAAGTACTTACTGGTAATCTGGTAATCTGGTAATCCTAGTTTCAGCTTCATAGCAAACGGGTCACCCCACAGATGCTCCGCTCCTGTGCCAACGAAAAACAAACGCAGCTCACAGTGTCACGCCATGCACTCAACTCAGAAGCTGGGCGACGAAACTACATCCTTCCAGTCTACAAATGGAGCAAAAATGCAACGGCCACCGTCTGGCAAAAAAAAAATATTTGCCACGGCTTTTAAAAAAAAAAGGTGGCCGTGCCTAGCGTCCATTTTGACCAGAAGAATTATATGAGGGTTTATAAGCGGTCACCCCAGCAGTACCCTCATTATTAGCTGGGGAAGGGACTTTGGACATTACATCCACCAGCAGGCGTCGCCCCTACAACGACCTGCCTGCCATCGTTAACGACTGTTCACCCAACAGCCATGCAGTTCTTTGGCACGAAGGAGACACCTTGAACTTGGGTTTCGTACTGCCGACTCCCTACTAAGATGTTATTTTATGTTTTGTTATCACAATGAATGTCACTGCACATTGGGCATACCCATGCGGGCTCAGTTCTCCGAAGCAGCAGTACTGTCTCTGCCCGGTCCAACCTAGACTTGCCTCGCTCAAGTTTGTTGCTTTTACGTGCATTTAGTTTATCGTGCAGTGGGCGTGTAGAGACCTCCGTAATTTTGAGGTATGCACTCGACTGTCGCAGTTCAAGCCTGCTGTGTATATTTGGAATATCTAGTAGGTATCTCATTGCTCTACATCAGATTTCTTTGATGCAGCCAATTATGATATGAATTGCTTCATTTTGTACCTTTTCCAGTCTGTCGATATGTTTCTTCCTGATGGTGAGAATTTCTAGTGCATACTCTAGGACAGAGAGGATCGAATCCTGATGCAGGATGACTAGCAACCTTTGTTGACCACACATGACAGCCATAACTCTCATTGCAGCGAAACCCTTTCTGGCCTTATTGATCATAGTGTCAACTTGGACTCTGCACCTAAGGCTTTGAGGTATTTTAAAAGTTCAGTCCTTGCTATCTCTTTACCATTCATATGCATAGAGGGCGTTATTGTGTGTACTATGTGGTTGTTCAAAGAGAACCAAGTTGCAGTCGCTTTAGTAGTGTTAATTTGTGCTATGGAGGTTTGACACCAATCTGCTATGCATCTCAATTGCTTCTGGAGTTCTTCTACAATTCTGCCCTTGTTCTTACCGGTACACAAGCATGTCATCAGCGTATAAAAGTGTTTTTCCCTTACCTGGGATCTGATATTTTTTTTTTTCACCCCAATAGTAAAAATATTGAAGAGGACTTGGGATAAAGGTGATCCCGAGGGCATTCCTAGGTATGTGGTTTTCAACTGAGAGATCTTTCTGCCACATCTGAAAACAACTTCTCTCTTAAAGAGTGCTGCTGCTATCTTTTTAATGAGTGTGTGGGAAATGTTGATGTATAGGTGTGACACAGTTGTATCTTCACATCCCCCAAGAAATAGATGTACCTAATTCGGACATAGTGTATTATGGATATAGTTCGTAGCTCTCCTGAATCGTATTTAACAACAAGGCCAGTGATGTAACAATTACACAGGAGTTTGTTTATTCACAATATTGTCAAGTCAAACAGAAAGCATCATTTCAATAACCAATAGTATAGGAACACTCCATTATCTTATTACTGGTTATTCTTATGTCTCTCTATGAGCTCCTTAATCACTGTTATAGCTAAACTCCAAGTTTAACATATCCCTTCTAGCGAAGCACAGCTCTAGTTTTCCCAACTGCCCTCTCAAGCCGCTCGCTCTAACTGTCCTTCTCCCTTCCGCCGTTAGCCACTCACCGCCTCCCTCCTACTCATTCCCGCGCTTCCTACTCTCCGCGTGGGTTCTCAATCACTCCCTGTCATCTGTCTCTGGTGGTCACGTTTGGATAAACGTATCTATTCCACTCGTCACAGTGCATCTGGTTTTATCTGTATCGCTGGTCGGTCAGCTTTCTAATCACTGTTTTCTGTCATGCCAACCAAGGAGGGATAGGCGTGCCTTTATGCTGATCTGAGATGTATGCTTTATTCATTTAACCCCTTTCTGTCTATATTTCATTACATAGGAGCTCATGTATGAGTTTTTCAAAGAGAACATTGTTATGAGCATCATCCAAGTCTAGTGTCAGAGCACATGTTTCCACTCCTACATGAAAACCTACACAGACATTGTACGGGGAAAAAAAAACACACAACATCCCCTCCAATACGGTCGACATCCTCCCAATGTTAATGGCAGTTTGCCTGTTTGTCCTAATTTATGAGTAATGTTGCTTGCCACTTTTTTCTTTCTGGCAGTTTTCCAATGTCATTCGTTTTACACACCGATAATTCAGTACGCAAATAACAAGAAATTGAAACAAACCTCCCTAAGCATGAAAATCTTGATTCACTAGTTGCTGATGTAGTTACTGCGCATGCACAATTATTACATCATTTAATTCATAAAATAAATTTGAATATTCATTCCCCTAAAAACAATTACATAAAGAAATTCTAAATTACAGTTCTAATACATTAAAATATTGTATTAAGTAGGAAATGAATCAAAAAATTGTTTTTGTTTCGATTATTTTGCACATGGCTTTATTCATTTTTTTAGAAAGCAGAAATTACACAAATAGTAAACTTCCTATACACGACACAAACATACTTGAATTTCTAAGCCAATATAGATAGAAAAACAGAGTGACATGCATCTATGTAAGCGCTGCCGCACTTGATAACACAGGACACCATAAACGTGCGTGAACCAGCACAGAAAACTAACGAAAATATGTTTGTATATTTTTATGTCGAATTCACACTTAATAATTATCAAATCAAACAATTATAACGATATTTAGTTAGTTGTTTGAGATTCCAACTTTACTGTAGATGGGATTCCCCAATAACCGATTTGATCTTCTGACAGAGCAAACCACCCACAATTACTCCCACCGTCCCATTTGAAAAGTTAGTGGAGAACCATTTTATTGCCATTACTGTTACATGCCCCGCCAGGCGGTGTAGGCGATCATGTCTCTCCACAGATCTCAGCCCTCCGTATTTTTAGTCAATTTCACTGATGATATTTCACCATAACATCGTTTCAGAATGTCAAGCATTGTTTATCCTGGTCTGCCTCTGTCGCTTCTACTATTGATTGCTGCAGTCACCACGATGTCCCCCGTGCCTCTCTTCTCATCACATGACTGCCTTTCTCTTATGGTTGTGCAATGCCAAACAGCAGACCAAAAACACAAGATATGGATAAAACAAAACATCGCTAACTATCACTATGATATCTTGATCCTGAATTACCAGTTGCTGGCGATTGCTTCTTCTGTTATTTTAATACTTTGATTTATGTGGATGTTTTTCCTTACAGCTCTTTTTATCTGTGCTTGGAATTTGTATCTGTATCCTCTTTTTTAGAAATTTGAGAGCATGCATCTTCCTTGTGGCTACATACGGATGTGAGTCTCTCAGTCCTTAAGAAAGAGAATAGGAGCTTTTGAGCTGAAATGCTATAGAAAGATTCTCAGAATATCTTGGACAAAGAAAAGGAGAAATATTGACAACAGATCTTAACATCAAGTAAGATTGGCTCATAAACAGCATCCTGTCTCGGAAGCTGAAATATTGTGGTCATATCAAGCGCCACGACGGATTTGAGAAAATTATAGCAGAAGGCATAGTAACAGGAAGGAGGAGCAGGGGCCAACCGACAAAAGGATGGGCACAGGAAATAAGTGACTCCTTGAGTATGAAAGCATATGAGGCGTGAGAACTGGCGAGAGACCGAGTTTCTTTCAGGCAGGCTGTGATGAGAGCGACTTTCTGCAAAGGACCAGCTACATGATGATGATCCTAATTTTGTAATCACATTTTTTTATGTTTGCAGGGAGAGTAGGGGTCGGGGGTTAGGGTGGGGTAGGCGTCTTACCATATATACAAGAAGCTCCACCTGAGAAAACATTTCAGACTACTGGTCTTGAATGGTGGCTAATTAGTCTTTTGACTAATGAGTTTACCGACCACTGGTCTAGAACAATTGAAAGTTTCTTTCAGTTTGCTTGAGTCGTATATTATTGATGTCATAAACTCCTGCAGTAAGTTATTGTGATTTGCTTTAGTGTGCTTAAACCCTCTCATGTCTTTCTACAATTCGTACTTCATATGGGCATGGGGTACACGTGAATCCAAACACATAATCTGTGTGTTTCGGGGGCACCTTGTCTTTTGGCAGAAACTGAAATCGTTGACACATATTGGAAAGGAACAAAAACAGTTCCATTTGAGCTAACGCTTCGCCGAGGCAAGCACGTCGACCAATACCAAAAGGGATCAGTTCTTCTCGATCTTTTACTTTACCGTTGGCGTCCAGGAACCGCTCAGGTCTGAACGTCAAGACATCCTCACCCCAGACGTTTTTGTCCAGTAAAACTGAGTCCAGATTAGGAACAATGAATGTTCCCTTGGGAATGGTGTAGCCTCTTAGGGTCGCCTCCTCTGAACAAGTGTGCATCAGTGACAGAGGGACAAGACTGGCCTTTCGAAGGGTTTCCATGATGGCAGCATTGAGAAACGGCAGTTTGTTTCTGTCTTGAATGTTTGGCTGACGATTCAGTCCTATCTGTTCCTTGATTTCCTGGTACACTTTCTCTTGTATATCTGGGAAATTGAGCATGTAAAGAACAAACCAGCAAATGGTTGTACTCATTGTCTCGGTTCCAGCGCCAAAAAGATCGTTAATAGATTTATTCAAATTGGCGTCATCCATGTATGTAGACAACCCAGCTTTCACTTTTTTGTCTCTTTCGGCCAAATATGCTTCTATAAAGTTATCTGTATTCTCGTAGTCAATATCATCATGCCTTTTGGAATTTATAAATTCATTCAACAAATTCACGATAGAAGTAATACTGTGAATGATTGCTTTAGCTTTAAATAGGTCCCCGGGTAGGTACATAAGCCAAGAGATAAAGTTGATTACACCCACGTTTTGTTGGTTCAACACGATGTCATTTAGATGGTCCATTAAACTGACAAACGCTTTATCGTCATGCTCGAACCTACGACCAAGGATAATGGCGCAGATGATGTTAGATACGCTTACATTTGTTATTGTTCGAATGTTTGTTGGCTTTCCTTTTATCTGCGCCAGGCATTTCAGGTAGGCGTCCACCTCTTCCTGAATCTTCTCTGCCAGAAAGTTCTTACCCATTCCAAACTTTCTCAGAATAGATATTGCGACTGTTCGTTGTTCCTTCCAAATAGCACCAGACGAAAATCCAATTCCTTTGCCAGCGAAACCGCTAACCTGTAGGGCAAACAAGAAATAGTTACAGCAAAGAAATTGTGTGTGTATTTTTTTTTTTATAGATTGTCTTTGATTATTTTTCCTGTGTAGCTCCCGAGCTGCATTTTGAGGAATGGGGGGAGGGGGGGGGGGGGGAAAGGGTGTAAACCTACTGCTCCCTAACAAGTATGTCGTAAAAGACGTCTAATGACGATATTACAGTCTAGCTGTAAACCATATCACAACATGCCAACCGTCCGTATAAGTACAAATGCAGAAGAAGTCTAACATATATTTGGTATTCCATGAAATCTGCTTTAATATCGTTAGTTGCATCTCTGAAAGTCTATGTTATATACTAAACGATGTAACATTTATGCTTGTATCTATTGCTGGAAAATATGGTCGGATATCGAATATGTCACTTCTTCCCCTGATCCATATCCTTAATAGAGCATAGATCCTCAACCAACACTCGCCACTACGATCTGTTTTATTTTTTTTTTTTTTTTTTTTGCTATCGGGGACAACTCTCATCATTGTCCTCCCAAACATTTTTATCGGTCTCTATTTTTCTTGTTCTTACTTGTTTGTTGTAATTGTATTTCCCTGAATACCATGATCCTCTGCGTCGCAATGTAAAGACGTTATAGTTGTATTGTTATTATGTTTTCTCGGTGTTGTCTCCCAATCAACGTCAGCGTCTCTGCTTCATATTTTCATTCACTATAAATTAGATTTAATTCTTTCCCAAAACGTCACAATACTGATTATTTTCTTCACATATAATTCCCTCTTTTATACATAGGAAGCGCCCGGCTCTCTAGCCTAGTTGGCTAAACCGGATTGAGCGGTGACTGAGTGACGAACTCCTTGTGGTCCGGGTTCACTCCCGGGGGTAAGCAGAAAAGTCACATTTCCCCCAGATTTACGGTATTTATCATGGAATCAAGGCCGAAAGGTTGCGATATCCATAATACCGAGCCTAAGGGTTTACAACTCATGACTTCTGGATACTAAAACAAACATACATAGGGAGCAGATAATGAATGGTTATTAGTAATTTGTTTTCTTGTTGTTCTCTGTATAGCAGTAGTGTTTGACATTAGAGCTAAACATTCTAAGATTCAAAGTGGACGCTAGGCACGGTCACTGTTTTGAGTCGCAGCAAATTTTTTTTTTCTTTAGCCAGACGGTGGCCGTTGAATTTTTGCTCCATTTTTAGACTGAAAGGATTTAGTTTCGTCGCACAGCTGCTGAGTTGAGTGCATAGCGCGACACTGTGAGCTGTGGATTTTATTTGAATGATTTTCGACAGTGACCAGCGTGGTGTTATGAATTGTAGATTCAGAAAATTGCACATATCCTGTCGTCACAATATTAGTGGTGCCCTTATGTGAGTATAATTGATCGCGTGTGCAACAGCTGATTTGATGATAACTTCTGCTACCCTTGATGATGAACTGCATTTCTAATGTCGGACTGTTTGTGTTAGCACTTCTGATGACTACGTATGATTTTAATGCATATGTATGCTAGTACATATGCTGAGACAGCAGTCTGTCAATCTTTCCACAAGGTTCTGTGATAAACATTCTGTGTATTTCTCGTTGGCACAGCTATGGGGTGACCCGTTCGCTATGAAATGTAAACTAAGATTACCAAGATTCTAACATTGTTACTAGTTTTAGTTTCTTGTGTCTTTCAATGGTTTACTAGTTTTTATTTCTTGTGTCTTCCGAAGGTTTACTAGTTTTCATTTCTTGTGTATTCCAGTGGTTTACTAGTTTTCATTTCTTGTGTATTCCAGTGGTTTACTAGTTTTTTTTTTTTTTCTTGTGTCTTCCAATGGTTTACTAGTTTTCATTTCTTGTGTCTTCCAATGGTTTACTAGTTTTAATTTCTTGTGTCTTCCAATGGTTTACTAGTTTTAATTTCTTGTGTCTTCCAATGGTTTACTAGTTTAAATTTATTGTGTCTTCCAATGGTTTACAAGTTTTAATTTCTTGTGTCTTCCAAAGGTTTACTAGTTTTAATTTCTTGTGTCTTCCAATGGTTTACTAGTTTTAATTTCTTGTGTCTTCCAATTGTTTACTAGTTTTAATTTCTTGTGTCTTCCAATGGTTTACTAGTTTTAATTTCTTGTGTCTTCCAATGGTTTACTAGTTTTAATTTATTGTGTCTTCCAATGGTTTACAAGTTTTAATTTCTGGTGTCTTCCATAGGTTTACTAGTTTCCCATTGCTAAAAAATTATTTTTACCTTTCGTATTTCCACACATCTTTAAGTGAGGTTTCACCGAAAGAAGTTTGAATAATATTTGCCAAGTTCTTTCTTGTTACCTTTGTCTTTCGACTGCGAATTTGTGTGTGTTTGTATTTAACAAAATTTTTGTGATAAAAAAAAAATGTATATAAAACTTGGAAGATAATCACGCCTCTGCTCTGATTTAATCCCCTGCTATCCTCTTGGCAAGCAAACACGCAATATTTGTTTCTGAAAATATTATTAAGTAATACTAAACCTCCAGACATTTTAAGAGACATGTATTCATCGCCTAAAATTGCTGGCAAAAGGTGTTTTTGTGTTTTCACTAAGCTACCAGCGTAGTATGCAACAGTAAGTAAAGGACCCTTTGCTCACGCTTTCCTACATATTTGGCATATAGGGCTAGATCTATCAATATTAATAAAAAATGTTAATTTTCCGAGTTTGTTACATCTAAACTCTGAAACTACCAAACTGATTGCTTTAAAATTTTCACACAACGTTGCCTCTGACTCAAGGCGTTATTTTTTGTCATAAAATCGCACAAACCACGAACGACCTAACTCCAGCAACGGTCAAATCATTATTTGTTTTGTTACCTGCCCAGATTTTTTTAAAATCAATTGGCCACCTCTGACTGTGTAACACCGAACTTTACATTATTATTATATACTTTCATTTCAACTAAATGTTTCGGTATTTCGTAGCGTAGTTGTAAGCATTTCGCTTTTTACTTCGGTGATAGGGGTTCGATTCCCCACTGGGTGATTTAATTTTTTTTTTTTTTTTTTTTTTTGGGGAGGGGGGGGGGGGCATTACCCTTCGTGCTAATTTTTCTTTTTCCCTCAAGAGGGCTGTTGGCACTTTGTGTTGTGGTTTACATCTAGGCTGCGATATCTGTGCCTTTCGCCCACAGACATCCGATTTAAATGAAGTCCCATTTATCCTCCCCACAACGCTTCACTCGATCATAAACGATTCGTTGATGAAAGACGCTGTTGACTAAGACTGCTTACAGTCCAGTTTACTTTGGGTGGACACGGATGCCAAGATTGCCAAATATTTCCGCTATTTGTGAGTATAGAACGGACTCTGTGGGTTCCATCACAGGTTAGGTCATGAAGTTTTTTTTTTTCTTTTTCTTTGTTGGGAGCTCAATTACACTAAACAGTCCGTGGCGACAACGTGCAGAGCTAACTCCTCTGGCTACACCGACCTGCACAGACAGTAGTGACTGTTTTTGTTTTTTGTTTGTTTTGTTCTGAAGGTGGTGGTGGTAGTGGTAGCAGTAGTACTAGCACTGGATGGGTGATGTGGTAGCTGTTACTCTGGCCACATTTACTTCTCATTACACATTAATGCTATCCATCTGTCTTTAGGTGGACACAGATGCAAACCTCAATTTAGTTACAATATTTTGTCAGATCATGACTTTCCCATCCTTCGGCGAGGATGATATGATTAGTTGGGAAAAGGAGGGGGGGGGGGGGGTTATGCCAGACAATGTTAGCTGAGAGAGCTTAGAACATTATTTTCAAGTTCTCATTTCTTAACTATTTCTATTTTAATACTTTTGCCAAGGATGATTTTTCAATCCTTCAGAGAGGCAGATATGACTGGGTGGAGGGGTGAGGGTTATGACAGACACTGTTAGCTGAGAGCTACTTTCTTTCTTTTCCATTTAACCATTCGGGGCCACAGCAACGCGTGGCAGGGCACAGCTAGTATTTTATAAACCAACTAGCACTTACCGATGATGTAGTCAGCATTAAGCGGCCACCTTTACTTCCCAGGACTTTACCTGGTACCCATGGGTGGACCTGGGAGCCAAAGTCATTTCTGAAATAAAAGTCCGACTCTGCGAGGATCTGATACAACGTCTTTGGGTCGCAGGCCAGCGTCTCAGCAGCTAAAGTCACGTGGTATGCTTTAGACGTAAATAAAGAAAACCTATTAAATAATAAATTTAACATTTTTAATTGTAATGTCGGATCAGTACTGTTGTATGCAGCGGAAGCATAGAGAACAGCTAAGGAAATTACTAATAAACTATAAACATTCATTAACTGGTGTCTGCGCAGAATAGAGGGAGCTAGAGGGTACGATATAATCAATAATGTAGAGCTTTGTGAGAGAAATAAACAGGTTTCAGTGGACCAAGAGGAAAAGAAAAGACGCTGGCGCTAGACAGCACACAGGTTGAGAAAACCTGGAAAAAAAAAAAAAAAACAATATAAATAGAATATCTTTGCACTGAAACCAACAGGGGCATAGACCAAAAAACCGCATGGAGAAGTGAGCTAGAGAGTGTAGTTAAAAGGATGGAGAGGATATGGGGAGATCTGCATGTGACAGCTAAGAATAGAACGACTTGACTTAGCGTGGGTTGGTTGGTTTAAACCCCTATGCTCCATTAGGGATTTAAAAGGCAGAAAAAAAAGAAAGAAAAGCACATTTTTCTCCCCATTCGTGCATGGAAATGTGATGGTAGACTCGCTGCCTTCCCCTGGCTTGAGAATGGAGGTGAAGGCAGTCACTGCTGCTTTGCGCTGGACTGAGAGCCAGCTGTACACACATGTGATTGTAATTGACTAACAGAGCATGTTGAGAAAGGTAGGAACAAGCATGCTCCATGCAGAGTGACAAGCGTCGCTTCAGGAGTCCCGGGTAGTTAGCATTCTTTAGATATTTTCTCCAGGTCATGCCGGTATTTTGGGAAACGAGCGGGTAGATAGACTGGCCGACTCTGCACGACTTGGTGGGGAATTATTGTTTGACAAACTAGATGCTGTAATGGTCCTTTACGAGCGAGTGAACAGTGCGGAGGCACAAACAGATCATTACAGTCTGAGAAGAGTGGTGCTGGGAGTAGTTACCAAGGGATCTGGCCGACGCTCAACATTCAAGGAAAAGACAAGACGAATTTACATTTACTGCTGCCATCGGAATCGGAAATCTACGCTTGCTCCTGAAGATGAGGCCAGAGCGCATATGGGAGTGTCCCGAGCGCCATGATGTCGATTTTTGATTCAATATTTTGACGCTAGACTTGCTTTTTTGTGAGTAATGCGGCCAGCAACACAGACTTCATCCTTATTTCCAGAAAATTTTCTAGCACCCATTTATGCTCGATCGACCTGGACACAGCGATACTTATACAATATTGACACTCGATGTGGAGTTCAGCTCAAGATCTTCGGTTTGGTCACTGCTATACCTCGACTTCCATTATGTGTTATAATATGATTGTTTGTTCAAGTATTTGTGTACTATTTAAAAAAAAAAAAAACGGTACAGCATACCTGGTCAAAGAAGACTGGACTTCTGTCTGAAAACACATCAGCTTTCTTCACAAAGGCCTCCTTCATGACGTCAAACCCATTGAGAACAACTACCAGTTTCCCTGCCATGTTTAGGCTGTTTTCATGGGAGAAAATAATAATAAAATAGTGACTGAAACAGGCGTTCAAATACATTAATAGCCCATTATTATCTTTAAACATTTTACATTGTAACGGTTCAACAAGCAACCACATTATTTTTATTTTTTATTTTTTATTTTTGGGAATTATTTAATCAGCGGATATATTTGTTTCTTTTTCGTTTCATCCGAACTCTTGTGGCAGCTAGGGAATGGTCAGTATCACAGTCAGCACTGTGGTAGCTGCGAGTTAGTGATACACAGTTCAAGTGCTGCCTCCAGTGGCCAGAACTTGGATGTTTCTATGACACTTTATGGCAGTCTTCTGTCTTGAAAAAGAAGTTTATGGTGCACAGGTCATTTCTAGTGCAGAATTCTAACAGTCTCTGCCTATTTAATTCATGTGGCCAACATTATATTTTCCAAGACAAACTGGCCATGAGCTTGAGTCCGACCCCACGCGATCATCTAAATCACCAAGTTTGTAGATGCCATCAGATTTAGGAATTGCTTTCATTGTATTATTCAGTTTCCCATAAAAAGATTCCCTTGCGTCCTCCGTTGACGTTAGAGTGGGTGCATATGCAATAAAAAAGGTGATAAAACCGCTTGAGGCAGACAATCGTAGGGATAATAATCTGTCATTTACTCCAGTTGGACTCTCAACTGATCACAACAGTGAATTCTTTACTGCAAATCATACTTTATATTTTCGGATGTCTTCCTGGCCTCTGTCTTTCCAGAAGAATGTATATTTATTTTCTCTAATGGACCCTTTCTCTGGCAGACGTGTTACTTGTAGGCCAGCAGAATCTATGTCCAGTTCACTGAGTTCGGCATCAATGACGGCCGTTTTTCTAACATGACTAATGTTTTTCAGGTCAGTGGAAAACCCAGGACACATGGTCCTCACCAAGTCAAAGCTTTTATTGCCTGGTGCACTGGTTTTTACAGCCTGTGATTCGGATTTTACTCTAGTTCCAAGCACCTAAGCTATGGCAGATTAACACCTTATTGGCTGGGAACTGCCCAGCTTTAAGCTGGTGGTAGTAAATCAGTGACATTCGAAGATGTCTCCCACCGTCAAAGCAACCCGTGGCGCCCTGTTCTACGCAGATTGACAAGGACTTATAATCCGTAATTGCTGCTTCTCGATTTGTTTCCGATACCAATTATAGCCAGGCGGGAAGTTCATCCTCTCCATAGCACAAAACCTGGGCAGTATTGTAGAGACCATATTTTGCACAAGCACCATGATCCCTCGCTCGACCTGCCTTGTTTACCTCAACGGAAGGGTAACACTAGTACGTTCGGAACAAGGCAGGCTGCAGAAGCTGCCGGATCAGAAGAGCAGTGCTTTATCTGTCAGCCTGTCGGATCTTCGCCCCTACACTAGCTGCCATCCAAGGCTAAGGGCCTGATCTGCCCTGACATAACTTAAAGTTTTCAGGTTGCATTTCTTCTTCCTAGGATAAGGCTTATATCATCCCGTATGTGCTCCTCTGTCCGAAGCCGTTGGCACAATATGGGATATCAGGTGTGCTGTACCCAACATTCGGCATAACAGAAGATAGGTGGTAACGGCTACTGTTATATCGTAGCTTAGTCATATCTGATCAAGATCTGAGTCAAACGATGAGTGATGTGGTCAAATCAATTCTAATCGCTTTTATTTCCCATGACACTACCTGTGTGATTCAGTACCACAGACTTACCTGAAGACATCTCCAAACTGTTCGCGCCATTTCTGAAACTGAGGTCGTGGGTTGTCCTCCATGTGAAACAGATTACCAAATATGGGCAGTGGCCTCTTGGGGAATGGTGGCAGATTGGAGCCTTGGCGTTGAAACCAGAAGAATATGGCCAGGAGAACTATGGCTGCTGTGATTAGAGCAAGTTCCATTGTTGTCTGTCATCAGTGGCCAGAAACTGTACCTGAAATGGAACGATAAAATGGCGCGTCATTTTATTTAAAAAGGAATTCCCTGTGTCCTGTGAACACATCTTTATGCACAAGAAACTGAAGGCCCCTGGAACATTATGGAAAGTCTTCAAAACAACGATTCTCGCGATTTTGAAAGTTCTATATAGAATCATCAAATCTGGATATATTTATTAACATGGGTAAAGTTCTATATAGGATCACTAAATCTGGATGTATTTATTAACATGGGTAAAGTTCTATATAGAATTCATCAAATCTGGATGTATTTATTAACATGTGTAAAGTTCTATATAGAATCATCAAATCTGGATGTATTTATTCACATGTGTAAAGTTCTATATTCATTCATTCATTCAGTAGCATGTCCCTCGCGGAACCTCGCTGCCATAACAACCCTCCGGAAAACCTTCCTATCATGAGCAAGATGTCCTGCGTCTGATACACCCATCTGGAGATCATCTGCCACATCCTGCACCCATCTTCTCCTTGGCCTTCCTCTTCCTCTCTTCCCAGGCATATACCCCTCCATTATTGTTCTCTCTAGACCTCCATGACGTTTCAAGTGACCAAAATATTTCAATTTTCTTTGTTTTATTGTCTTTACTAGCCAACCCTCTTCAATATTCAGCTCTTGAAGTATGGATGCATTTGTTCTTTTCTTTACCCAAGATATTCTTAGAACCTGTCTGTAACATTTATATTCAAATGCATTTATGCGCTGTTCCGCTTGTTTAGTAAGTGTCCAGGTCTCACAGGCGTATGTTGCAATGGGAAAGATGCATGCTCTTAAAAATCTGACCTTTGTAATTCTATCTGTACAATTCCATAATTTATTCAGTTGTTTTAGTCTTTGAAGAGCAATTGATAGTCGCCGTTTAATTTCTTTCATTGTGTCACCATTGTTGGTAACCAGTGACCCAAGATATTCGAAATTTTCCACCACTTCCAATCATTCCTCATTAACATATATTTCCTTCTCCATGGCAGTTTTGTTTGTATGCATTATCTTTGTTTTTGCTGTGTTAAGAAATAAGTTATGATTTTCACTATTTCTTTGGAGTGAGGTTAATAAGTTTTCTAAACCATTTTGTGATGTTGATAGTAATACTGTATCATCAGCATAACGAATTTCTGGTATTTCAGGACCACCGATGTTTAGGGCATCATATTGTTCCTTGTTTATATCATCTTTTACATTTCTCATTATATTTTCGGCGTACAGGTTGAACAAATACGGTGACAGCACACATCCCTGACGGACTCCTTGCTTGATGCCAAACCAGTCTGATGTCTCTCCATCTATTCTGACTGCTGCTTGTTGGTCTTGATAGAGCATTTTAATGAGCTGCACTATATGTGATGGAAAGCCCATATTCCTCATGATTTCCCAAAGCTTCTGATGTTGTACACAGTCAAATGCTTTTTGAATAATCCACAAAACATAAGAACAGATTTACATTAAATTCTCTACACTTCTCTATTATTAAACGCATGTTGAATATATGATCTCTTGTTCCTCTTCCCTGTCTAAATCCAGCCTGAGCTACATTAATCTCTTCTTCCATTTTCTTTTGCAGTCTTCTCATTATAATTTTTAGTAGAATTTTACTTGCATGACTGATCAGGGCAATAGTTCGATAGTTTGTACATAATTTCAGGTCACCCTTTTTTGGTATTGGAATGAAGATAGTTCTCTTCCAGTCTTTTGGCCAAATACCATATTTCCATATCTTTTCACATAATGCATGATAGATTTTTATGCTTTCTTCTCCTCCCGCTTTAATCAATTCAGCTGGTATCTCATCACATCCAGGTGATTTACCATTTTTCAGGCTCCTTATTGCCCATGAAATTTCATCTAATGAAGGTTCAGGTTCTGCCTCTACTGTTACTGGTTCATGTATATCATTCATATCCTCACTGTCATTCATATCATACATTCCGCTACAGTATTCCTGCCATCTTCCTAGAATTTGTCTAGATTCTGTTAAAGTATTTCCCAACCTGTCACAAATAACATTTAACTGAGGTTGAAAATTTCTTGTCAATAACTTCATTTCCTTGAACATTTCGTAATCTCTTCCATTTTTGTGATGCTGCTCTATTTTAATACAGCAATCTTGTACATACTGATTTTTATCCTTTCTTGTGTACTTTCTTATTTCTCGTGTAAAAAATTTATACTTCATCCTACTATCATTGGTTTCTCCTTTCTTTTTCAGTTCTCTTCGTTGTTTTATTAGTTCTAACGTGTATGGTGTGATCCATGGTTTATGTTGCTTAGTCCTGGTGGGTATTAAGTCTTTAGCTGCTGTTATCAAGATATCCCTAGCTTGTACCGCCAGTTCATCAGGTGTCATTTCCTCTTGTACAGACATCAAGACCTCAAAACGGTTCTTCACTTCTACGTTGTATGCATCTGGTATTTTTGTGAGATCAAATCGAAATGGCCTTGGTCCTCGGGTAAGCTTTTTGAGTTTTAATTTTAGATCTGCTTCTAGTAACTGATGATCTGTATCGCAATCTGCACTTCGCAGGGTTTTTGCAGATGTTATGCTCGATCTCCATCTTCTTTGTATTAAAATGTAATCTATCTGATTTTTGGTAACACCGTCAGGGGATGTCCATGTGAAAAGCCTTCTAGGGTGTTGTTTATAAAGTGTGTTAGCTATTGTTAATTCATTTTCTATGCAAAATTCAATCAATTTTTCTCCTGTTTCATTTCTATTACCCAATCCAAATTTTCCTAAAACGTGTCTCTCATTTTCATCTCTGCCTGTACCTACTTTAGCATTAAAATCTCCCATTATTATTATTATATCATTCTGATTAATTTTATTTAATGTGTCTTGCAGTATGGCATAAAAATCTTCAATTTCGCCCTCCTCTGCTGTTGAAGTTGGTGCATATACCTGCATGAAAGTTATGTTTTTTGGACGGCCTTTAAGTCTGATAGTTAGGATTCTATCACTAACTGGATTATATCCCATAATAGCTTTTGCTGTTGTTTTATCTAAACAAAATGCCACTCCGCTCTGGCCTCTTACATCTCTACCAGAATATACGAAAAAGCTTCCATATTCATTGATAAAATGTCCCTTGCCACTCCAACGATGTTCACAAATTCCTAAGATCTGAATATTTAATCTTTCAATCTCATCACATACTACTTTAAGCTTTCCTTCATACAGACTTCTCACATTCCACGTTCCTATTCGCATTCTGTTTCTTAGTCTGACACAGTGGATTTCCTTGGTAACACAGTCAGGATTAACTCCGTCATCACGATTACTAGTACCGACCCCTGTATCACACTCTTCCCCAGTGTTATCTGATCTGCCTGGCCTGGGGGTCTCGCCACCAGATCTCTTCTGTGTTATGTTTTCTTTCATGATTGTTATGGGTTCTTGGCAAAATTTGCAGAAGGTAGTTTGCCGTTGCTTTCCTCCTGAGCAGTGACTATACTAGTCGGTGGCCATAGCCATTGTCTCTACTGATGAGATCATCTGCCTATCGCCGCAGAGTGCAGACCATAACCAACAATACCTGTCGGCTGCTCTTACACTCCATCCACCACCTGCTTCCATGGCTTCACGTAACCCTGATTGGGGGGCTAAACGGGTACTCCACCTTGCCCAAGGGTGTCCCGTAGACTAGCGGAGGAAAGAAGGCGTCTTACTTCTCCTTTGATAGGGGATACCCCTACCCCGCTAACCGGAAGTTCTATATAGAATCATCAAATCTGGATGTATTTATTAACATGGGTAAAGTTCTATATAGAATCATCAAATCTAGATGTATTTATTAACATGGGTAAAGTTCTATATGGAATCATCAAATCTGGATGTATTTATTAACATGTGTATTATAAATAGTGGTTGCTAAAAATATTATTTAAAAAAAAAAAGTAAAAGTGAAGATCCTTTTCCACGCCTTAAGGCGCATCGGGCCTGTGGAAAAAGCGCCTATATTTTTACAGACCAATCGGCAATAGGTGGGTAATGTGGTCAACATTACGCCGGCCGTCTTTACTTTCACAGGACAGCCATCCTGGTATAAATTGTAGGCTACGTATCATCGTATGGCATCATCGATACCATGATAAAAGTCCACGCAGCCAGCAGTGGGTTTCGATCGGGGTACGTTGGAATTACTAGTCGAACTCGCAACGCCCAACCCACGAATGCTGCCTATTGGTATGATGATGGATATTTGTTGTTGTTGTTGTTTTACAATGTAGCCCCAGAGTCCACACACAGAGGGCAGAGCACATGATACTGATTATTATACTTACCCAGCACTCCCTTCATATTGGATGCACATACATTTGTTAAGAAAAAAACGTACTGAGTAACTATAGTCGGTTCCTGTTTTCAATACACCAGTGGGAACTAAATGAACCTTTATTCCACCTTGTACCATTTATAGACTGGATCGGCATCGAAGGCAAGCCGACTATTAAAAAATCCGGAATCACACCCCCCCCCCCCACAACCCCCCCCCTCCCACCCCAAGTGAAAGTAAGTGTTGAGAGGATCGATTTCATTGCACCAGGTTTTATCCCAAATGGCTCGTTCACTTGTCTGTCGAAAGCGTTGCCCAAAGCACGAACTTCGTAGCGTTGGCAAAGATCCCTCAAGATCTTTGTAAACAGTGTATTCGTAAACCGAACGATGCAGCCGTGAAACGAACCCACGACCATCAGACAGCGAGACAAACGGCTTGACGACTTCACCACTAGGACCACGACCTTGATATTGTGTCGAGCACGGAAGCTGGGACGACAAGTAAGAGTTTTAGTTGCTGCTCTATCCCGGCTCGCAAGCGTAGTTGGCTAAACCGGACTGCGTGGTGACCGGGTGACGAACTCCTTGTGGTCCGGGTTCACGCCCGGGGGTAGGCAGAAAAGCCACATTTCTCCAAGATTTACTGTATTTATCAAGGCCGAAGGGTTGCGA